GAGAGTGAATAGATAATTAAAATTCGGGAAGAAATAGAGAGTAGAAAAGAGGAAAAAAAATAAAAGATGTAGATTATTGGTAGAATATAAGAATTCTTTAAAAGATTTGAACAAAAAAATTAATTTTTCCATTAAAATGCTTTGTGCAAAATCAAAATTTTAATATCAAATTTAAATAAACGTGCAAGTCATAAATACAAATTGCCTATACCATGTCACAGTTGAATCCTGCAACTACGGGCGGTCAATTAAATGCAAAAAAATTGCACATACACTCCAGCCAAACGGGTTTCTCAAAAAGCCAGCAGAAGAATCAGTTTTTTTCGAGAATACTCTAAATTGTTGTAAGAGTTTTTTTAACTTTGTTTCGCACCCAAAAAAGTCAATTCTAACCGAGCCCATTATATTCGGTAAAAAATATGTCCGCTTGAAACAAATCTATTTCTCTTTTTTTTCCACTCCCATAGACTCTCGGTCTCGGTGTTCCTCACTCCAAATAAACTCTTTCTCTCTTTTATTTTTCTATCCTAGAAACCTTGGATGTTCTCTCTCTTTGTGCATGCGTTACTCCACAAATTCAAGTATCTCTTGACGGCATGTCAACATCTGTTACCCTGGCTCTGTATGGACGTAATGAATGAAGTTGTAATCCCTATATAGTAATTGATTTGTATCTCCCCAATTCTAGCACTCGAAATTGGAAGTTGAATCTCTCTAGATGTTTTCTCCCTCGTCATTGCGAGCAAACACTCCGTCATGGAACCAACCATGTATTTCTTGGTATATTTCTTCCCTTGATATCTCGTATAAGATTTTTTTGGCTGCAAATACATCCCAGATTTTTATTTTAACACCATAATGGACACCGGAAAAATTGATCTCTAGTAGAGAAAATCAAGCGCAAACACACCGTGTGTATTGGCGTCACGGAACCAATAGTGTGCTGCTCAGAAGAGGTACTCAATCAATGTACATTGAATTCGTTCAAGTATTGAATGAATTGAATTTTCCCCAAATTGAATTGTCGAGGCACAAAATGAGTGGATGTACGATTACTTTATGGAAAACTTTCTAATTTGTCTAACTCCTCTCAGTGTATATCTTTATTGTGTGTGTGAGTGTGTGCGTATATCTGATTTGGAGATTATGGATTTTAACAATGCTTAGATATGTGCCATGAAGGTGTATTCTTTGGGTGCTAGAGAAAAAAAAATGTGATTTTATTGTGGAAACTTTTAAAAGGAACACCTTTTACACTCCAAAATGTTGGACATGTTGCAGATTGGCTTAGACAAAACTCTGTTGAGTTGATAGGTTTTAGTTCACTAGATTGTATTAGTGACTTCAACATATTGATAATTATAAGGTTACAAAAGATGAAAGGACATAGAACTTGACTATTAGGTGCTTAAGCTATCATGCTTCCTTTGAAAGGTTGCTTCCTTGTATGTAGCAGGACATCTGATCTTCTTGATTTTTGTCTATCCATGTGATTAAACAATTTGATAGATTCTTGTACTGTGGAGTGAATTTGTAAGGAAGTGTGCCCTTTTTATGATGTTCCATGGTTCTATAAGGGCATTACTTGGTAGAAAAAGTTGTACTTTCTGAAGAAAAAACAAAGCTGTTGGAGGACTTATGCCAACTGATCATTTGTATCTGCATCATGGATTATTCAAGTGGTAACGCATAATTCTACCTTAAACCATTAAAACTGGCATCTTATATAATGGTTGGTCTATATTTGAAGACATAACAACTGGAAGGGCTGTTTCACAATCTCTCAGTAGGCTCTTAACTATGGTTATCACAATTCACTAAACCCTTAACGACCCACGATCTAGATACATCGATCCAAAACATGGTGGGTTTGCGATCCTGATCATCAAAATTGACAACTCCAAATTGAAATACTAACACTAAATCAATTCACTTTAGAACATGTAGTACAAATATAAAATACATATTAATTAACTACATTTATGTAGATTTATAATTATATATTGTTTTAGATAATAAAAAATAAAGAACAATTATAAGATAAATGGTAACTAACTTATTGTTTATGAATGTTTTGTTATATGTAATATTGTATGTAGTAAAAACGAACTACATAAGAGTTCCAAAACGAATTGCGACCAAAAATACTGTACTAGGTAAACTTATCTTCATCGTACCACGTATACAAAAAAGTGTTGTACCATGTACTCGTACCTGTAACATGTACCAAAACAACCCACGATCTAGGTAATAATGCTCTTAACCGACAACATGTAACCTATTCATAGATGCAATGTTTGTAGTCAAATATTGCTTGTTCCCACTTAAGAACCATGTTAGAAATTGAATCTGGTCCTTCACAACATTTTTGTTGTTTATCGGAATCTATGTTGTTATATTAAGAATACTTGTTCGGTTGGGCATACATCATTCGACCTAGAATTGGAGGGATGGGCTTTTGTCCCACGAAAAATATAATTGAAACTATGCTGACATTATTACCAATCATTTCTTTTGACCTATTTGACGAATTGTGAATGTTTATAATTACTTGGAATGGATTATTCCCAATCATGGACAATAGATATTGACAACATTTTTCGATGGGATCAAAACTGATCAATCGATAGTACCCATAATCAGAAGCCTGCATCAATTTACCTCTTGGATTAGAGGTCTAATTTCTTTGGATGGGAGTGTCATCCATTCTATTTTAGCTGGAAAGATATTTCTATGTTATCTAATTTGTTCAGCTACAACAATTTGTCTCCACATATACTTGGATTTTATTATTCATAGTGTTGAATGTGAATACATTACTAAAAGGTTAGATATAACTGAGTGCTTGCATTTGAGGATGTGTGTCTTATTGGTCTTGTGATTTCTATGACGAGTAATAGTTTTAGCAATTAACATTTTTTTTCCGTGCTTTTCTATTGCTTCTAATCCTCTTCCTTGTCATTGGATAACAATATTAGCTCGGTTTAATTGCAACTATCATATTTCTTTTGTACGCAACCAAAATTGTGATTCGTATCGTGAATCAAAATTCTAAATTTGAGAATCGTGAATCGTAAAATTTGACACAAAAATAAAAAATAATATTACATTTTTAAAATAGACAAAATATTGAGTATTGAATATTATTGTATTTTAAAAATAATCAATTGACATAATCACGTCGTCTAAATAAAAAAACGCTAGTTTGTTGTTTTATTTTCATCTTTTGCTTAACTATTTTCAAATCCAACAATTTGAAAAAAAAAAATTAATTAAAGAATCATGGCTATTCAAGACTCAAAATAGTGACACCCAGTATAGATAGGGTTACAAATATAAATAGAAAAAGAAAAAATAAGAAAATTAATTGGGAGAAAATATATAGACTAATATTTTGAAACAAAAAATTAGAACCTAACAAATTACCCAATAAAGAATTGAGAGTAAAAATCAATCGATGATGCGAAAGCGTTAATAATAATTTTTAACATTAGACAATTCAAGGCGAGCTTTAAATGATGTCAAGGAGAGAGAACGAACAAAGAGATTGAATTTTTATTAGAGCATGAGTTCCTCGACAAATAAAACAACGTTGTGTTCTTGTTTAGCGAATAAAATAATATTGTTTTGTCAAAAAAAAAAAAAATGATTGAGTCGTGTGAATCGTATACGAATTATATTGTGATTTTAAAATTGTTCGTGTGCACTTGCTAGTTGCCCTAAATTTGCTTAAGTTGATCTCTGTCGTCTCTACAGTTAAAAGAAAAAACGATCTCTGTCGTCTCTCACTCACTCACGAATCTCTAACCAATCATGGCTTCTCAGCCTTCAAGGAAGGCGAAAAAGCGAACCAGAGTTGACTCGGAACAACTCGAACGGCTCGACTCACTCCCATGGAATTCCTCGCTTCCCAACGACAACGACGATGACCTTTTCTCTCTCCTCATCGGCCCAAGCGAACTCGAAGGAGGTCTTTCTCTTTAAACCAATTTCATTCTCCCTTTTTGTTTCGTAGTGTTTGCTTTTTATTGTTTAGATTTTCGAATAATTTGTCCGCAATGTAGAAAAATTGAGCATGTTTGTTTGTATTTAATTCATAATCAAATGGAGGCTAAGGTTGCGTAGCTTTCACGTTGATTGATGTGTATGAATGCAGGATTTTTAACACTTGAAGAGATTGATGAATCGGAGTACGGGTTAGAAGTTCTGAAACCGGAGAGAGAAAATTACGAGCATAGGTTGAAAGAGAAGACGAAATCAAAGAAACGGAAGCGAAGTGAAGGCGATGGAGATGTTGGGTCTGGTGGTGAGGTTGAAGAGAAGGTTGAGGAGGAGGAGGAGGAGGAGGAGAGGGAAAAGGAAGAAATGCAAGGAAAGAAGAAGAACAAGAAGACCACGAAGAAGAAGAGGAAAAAGAAGGAGAAGAAAATTGAAGAAACTGCATCAACAGCAACTGGTAAGAGTTATACTATAAATTTAGCATTTTGCTAAACCAATTTTAATATTTTTGATTTCTAAAATGTGGTCATATGACTTAATCTTTGAAAAGTGTTTGTGCCTAATATTGATGCATTTTTTTTTATAGGATCTTGATGCATTTTGAAATTGTGTTTGTGGGTGTTTGGCATAGTTTGAGCTTTGAACATGTTGATGTGACGGTTGGTAAATCATTAATATATGTTGGAATGTTGGGTATAATTGGTTAAAGTTTGGCATCAATATGGTTTACTAATATATATTGTGGCATCAGTATGTTAAACTTACTAGGGTAATGTTAAATCTTGGACATTTTGAGAAGGGGTACTTTTGTTTATCAAGGTCTGTGCATTGCTAACTCCTATTGTGCTTGGTGGTGCTAAACTTCACCTAATGCATGTTTATCCATGCACCCGTTGAAAGTCTTTTAACAGTTGTGATACATCTCATAGCTGTGCCTGTGAATGGTTTGGTACTATAATAATTTGTAGTTGAGTCATCGCAAATTCAATCACATTTTACTGATGGATGTGTGTGTAATTCGAACACTTGGTTTCTGGGGAAGCAGAGATTTATTCTTTGCCAAACTAGTAGTATGGATTGGTTTATCAAAATGGTGAAGTTTTTAGATACTTTGTACTTTGAATTTGATTTGACTCTAAAAGAGGTGTTTCGTACAAAAATGTGCAACTATTACAGTAGTTGCCGAGGGCAAGGATGATGGTGATGGAGATTCAGTTGATGACACAGAATATTATTCTTGGAATGAACTGAGACTTCATCCCCTACTCATGAAATCAATATACAGGCTGAAGTTCAAAGAACCAACACCTATACAGAAAGCTTGCATTCCTGCAGCTGCTCATCAAGGAAAGGTTAGTCTCATCACTTTTTTTTGGATTAAATATGAGAGAATGTTAGTTTCATGACTAATATAAGGTGATAAAGAGTAATGACTAATGACAACATATGGTATGATATTAGTGCTGGTCAAATTTTGTGACAGGATGTTGCTGGTGCTGCAGAGACTGGATCTGGAAAAACACTTGCTTTTGGTTTGCCCATTTTGCAACGTCTTCTTGAAGAACGAGAAAAAACTGACACGCTGCTTGCTGAAAATGGAGAGGCGGATGAAAAAATTGCTTCAAGTGGTCTTTTACGGGCCCTGATTATTACTCCTACTAGAGAGCTTGCACTTCAGGTATTTCAAACTGCTTTATTGGTTTTCTTCAGTTCACTTTGCATCACATCTAATTAACATGGATGGCAGATTTTCTTTTCATATTCCTTTATCATGGCGTGAGCTTATTTGTGCACTTAGTATAAGTGGCTGTTGCATTATGTTTGGAGCTGGTTGAAATTGACTGGTCACTTTATGCTTAGCAGCAATAAAAGGGGCTGCTTGCCATATTTCCTATTGTGTCATGATGTGACATTTACTATGAGACTTTTGCATTGTAATAACATTGTTTCATGATGTTGCCATACTTCCTATGGCTTGCCGGTATTTCATGGTTCAAGGTCATGGTATCAACCATTGACTCGGAGAGCCCTGAGACATATCGGTGGCAGCGTCGCGGGGTGGTATTTGGCGATACGACTTAAAAGAAAATGTTGAACATGATGAGAGATTTAGGTCATGCCACAGCGTTGTGTAATTGTATCGGTTGATTCGGTAACAATAACTTGGCGACTCGAGATTGATTCGGATACAACTCGGTCGAGTCGTGTGAGACTCGGGGTTTCTATGTATTGTGTAACAGTATCATCTCGAAAGATGCCAATTCAGATACAATTAGGTATCAGTATTGGCCAATATTTTGATTTTTGAACCATGCCGTATTTAATACTATGGTGTTAGTAAGATGTTCCATTGCTTTTGGAAGCTATTTGGGAAATTAAAAAAAAAAGAAAGGCCCAGAAATGGCCTAATTTGGCTGGTTATAGTACTGTTAGCACCAATTCAAGCCTGGTGAGTTATGAAAAATTACTAAGGTTTGTTTGCAGAGAGATAAGTATTGTGCAGATTTGCAGGTCTCACTGACTATGCTGCTCAGGCCGATTTTATTAGACTTAACTGGTCCACTTCATGGCTTGTCTCTTCTGCTCATTAGACTTTGTTCTTTGTCCTTGTTATTGATTTTTTCTTGTCCTTAATGTGCACCCTTTTTCCAGGTCACTGATCATCTCAAAGTTGTGGCCAAAGGCACTAATATAAGGGTGGTTCCTATTGTTGGTGGCATGTCAACAGAAAAGCAGGAAAGACTTCTGAAAACAAGGCCTGAGGTTGTTGTTGGAACTCCAGGGAGGCTATGGGAACTTATGTCAGGTGGAGAAATTCATCTTGTTGAGGTTAGTGTTATGCATGTTGTAAATAAAGCATATACAGGGAGTTCATTTCTACCATTTTGTTAGCGTGCAATTATATTGCTTTGTACACTGACAAGTTGTTTTGAGCAACCATCACACCTTAACCTTCGTTCTTTCTTGCGAAAGCAATTAGGTAAATTTCTCTTTTCCCCCTCATATATTTGGCTGATTAAATTCTGTGGAACAAAATTCAAAACTCTTTTATTTGACATTTGTGAAGTTGCATGTGCATGTTTTAACATGTAATAGACCTTTCATTATTATTTTTTTTTTTGCACAAAATGAAAAATGGTCTAGGAATGGTTGAGTTTGATGATGTGGATTTCCTGGGACACTCGCTATGAGTTGAAATTCCGAGGGTGGTAAAGTTTCAATAAAACATTACCACCATAGACTAATGGCAATAAGGATGAGGCAGAGAAATAAATTGAGGACTAGGTTTTTTGGTAGTGTTTGCTTTTTTGTGCTTGGCAATTCCATGTAGAATGATGGTGGAATTGAATATTAAATGATTTCAACAACGATAATTGGCACATATGATAGAAATATTTCTAGACTTTGCCATGAGCTTCATCATATCTGTTAGCTTGGGTCCTATCTCGTGTACCTAATGCTGAAGATATAAGGTTAAAGCTGCAGTGAGGACGAGGATCCATTGGCCCTTCAAAAAAAATAGGGAAGAAAACCTCAAATCTGTCACCACAACTATTATAGTCTTAATCCTGTCATTGTTGTTGCCAATTCTGTATTCAATCTTTGCATGAACACAGTAAGTTAATCACGTGTCTCCTCCTACAATACAGCCTACACCTTATAATTACCAGTGCAATCACTATACAAACCTCTGCCTGTGGTTAGGTAACACAGCTACTGTCTCACATCACCAGCTTTACCACAGCCAAGTCCCTGGCACTACTCTTGCTGCAGCTGTTGCCATTTCTGTAACATCTTGAATCCTTGATTCTTGTGTCCAGCATTAGCACACCTTATTTCAGCAAACTTCTTAGAACATTATGTTTGCATTAAAGCACAAATTCTCTCACTCGTAACAATGTGATTAGGCTAAAAGGAGACCAGATCGTACACTCCTATGCACGTATAGAGCGTAGATTTGTGTGCCTATACCATTCTTTCTCCATGTTTTCAAGGACCAGCAGCAACGCACTCCCCCATCTGCAAGTGTTATATCACTTAAGCAGAAAATTTTGACCAGAATTAGTTGTCTCACATTTTGGCTGTTGCAGCTGCATTCATTGTCCTTCTTTGTGCTGGATGAGGCTGATCGCATGATAGAGAATGGTCATTTTCATGAGTTGCGGTCCATAATTGACATGCTTCCTGTTACCGCCGGATCAATTGAAGGGCATTCTCAGAGTACAGATAATTGTGTGACAGTTTCGAGCTTCCAAAGAAAGAAGAGGCAAACTTTTGTGTTTTCTGCAACTATTGCCCTCTCTGCTGATTTCCGGAAAAAGCTAAAGCGTGGATCACTAAAATCCCAACCAAATGATGCAATAAATTCAATAGAAGCTCTTTCTGAACGAGCAGGAATGAGAGCCAACGCTGCTATTGTTGATCTGACAAATGTGTCAATTGTAGCAAATAAACTTGAGGAGTCGTGTATTGAGTATGTATTTACTTATTCTTTTGGTCTTTGGCATATGAAGCTCTTATAGTATATAATGTCTATGTATTGGGCCAATTTGACCATGGACCTCCGTACATAGTATTTGCATCTTACATCTCATACTTTCATTGTTAGGAATGAAATTTTCTGATATGCATGTACCAAATTAAATTGACTTTCAAAACTGATTTTGGATTAGTATAGTTTACACGTTTAAGACTCTATAATGGCTTTAGGATTTCCTTTTATAATGTCCTAACACCTAAGGTAGAGAAAATAATATTACTACTTAAAGATTCATACTAGACCTTGGTATTCATTCATATGTCGAACTAGTTAATCCCCCTTTATAGGCCATATTGACCTAAACCTGGCTGCATTCCTCATACACGTCTGGTTCTGGTCCTCCGTGATCCTGGTAATCGACAATTCTGTAGCCCAGATTGCATGATCCAAAATATGTTTAACTGCCATATTTGTTTCTCAACATTATTTACTTATGTAACAGGCCACTATACTAAATTATTGATTCTATATTAGTTGCTTGCATTGTGTCCATACTCTTGTTCCTTCTTTGTGCTTAATTTTTCTTTCTTGAAGAAGAAAAGACAAGAGGGTCTCTAGCACTTTCTTCCTTAAGAAAGAGTAGATATGGGGCCTTAAACTCTAGCATTTTTTTTCCTTAAGAAAAAGTAAATATCTGGGCTTTAAAATAAAGGAAGCAACTTGGATTCAGCTCAAGTTCGATACAATAGAAGCTTGTTTGAGCTCATACTCTAATTAATCTGAGCCAATGTTGAGCATAGGTAGGAGCTCACCAAGAAAATGAGGCGAATCATGGACGAAGCTGAGAGTGAAAAGGATGCTGAAACAGATGTATTTCAACCTAGGGNTGGCGATACGACTTAAAAGAAAATGTTGAACATGATGAGAGATTTAGGTCATGCCACAGCGTTGTGTAATTGTATCGGTTGATTCGGTAACAATAACTTGGCGACTCGAGATTGATTCGGATACAACTCGGTCGAGTCGTGTGAGACTCGGGGTTTCTATGTATTGTGTAACAGTATCATCTCGAAAGATGCCAATTCAGATACAACTAGGTNGGGAGGTTGAATAGGTGTTATCGACAATAATGCCTAATTTAAACTTTAACCTATTCAACATGCGAAGCTCAAGTCTAGGATTTAAAGATGAACAAGGTTGATAAGAATTTCACTCTCTTTANATTCGGATACAACTCGGTCGAGTCGTGTGAGACTCGGGGTTTCTATGTATTGTGTAACAGTATCATCTCGAAAGATGCCAATTCAGATACAACTAGGTATCAGTATTGGCCAATATTTTGATTTTTGAACCATGCCGTATTTAATACTATGGTGTTAGTAAGTTGTTCCATTGCTTTTGGAAGCTATTTGGGAAATTAAAAAAAAAAGAAAGGCCCAGAAATGGCCTAATTTGGCTGGTTATAGTACTGTTAGCACCAATTCAAGCCTGGTGAGTTATGAAAAATTACTAAGGTTTGTTTGCAGAGAGATAAGTATTGTGCAGATTTGCAGGTCTCACTGACTATGCTGCTCAGGCCGATTTTATTAGACTTAACTGGTCCACTTCATGGCTTGTCTCTTCTGCTCATTAGACTTTGTTCTTTGTCCTTGTTATTGATTTTTTCTTGTCCTTAATGTGCACCCTTTTTCCAGGTCACTGATCATCTCAAAGTTGTGGCCAAAGGCACTAATATAAGGGTGGTTCCTATTGTTGGTGGCATGTCAACAGAAAAGCAGGAAAGACTTCTGAAAACAAGGCCTGAGGTTGTTGTTGGAACTCCAGGGAGGCTATGGGAACTTATGTCAGGTGGAGAAATTCATCTTGTTGAGGTTAGTGTTATGCATGTTGTAAATAAAGCATATACAGGGAGTTCATTTCTACCATTTTGTTAGCGTGCAATTATATTGCTTTGTACACTGACAAGTTGTTTTGAGCAACCATCACACCTTAACCTTCGTTCTTTCTTGCGAAAGCAATTAGGTAAATTTCTCTTTTCCCCCTCATATATTTGGCTGATTAAATTCTGTGGAACAAAATTCAAAACTCTTTTATTTGACATTTGTGAAGTTGCATGTGCATGTTTTAACATGTAATAGACCTTTCATTATTATTATTTTTTTTGCACAAAATGAAAAATGGTCTAGGAATGGTTGAGTTTGATGATGTGGATTTCCTGGGACACTCGCTATGAGTTGAAATTCCGAGGGTGATAAAGTTTCAATAAAACATTACCACCATAGACTAATGGCAATAAGGATGAGGCAGAGAAATAAATTGAGGACTAGATTTTTTGGTAGTGTTTACTTTTTTGTGCTTGGAAATTCCATGTAGAATGATGGTGGAATTGAATATTAAATGATTTCAACAACGATAATTGGCACATGTGATAGAAATATTTCTAGACTTTGCCATGAGCTTCATCATATCTGTTAGCTTGGGTCCTATCTCGTGTACCTAATGCTGAAGATATAAGGTTAAAGCTGCAGTGAGGACGAGGATCCATTGGCCCTTCAAAAAAAATAGGGAAGAAAACCTCAAATCTGTCACCACAACTATTATAGTCTTAATCCTGTCATTGTTGTTGCCAATTCTGTATTCAATCTTTGCATGAACACAGTAAGTTAATCACGTGTCTCCTCCTACAATACAGCCTACACCTTATAATTACCAGTGCAATCACTATACAAACCTCTGCCTGTGGTTAGGTAACACAGCTACTGTCTCACATCACCAGCTTTACCACAGCCAAGTCCCTGGCACTACTCTTGCTGCAGCTGTTGCCATTTCTGTAACATCTTGAATCCTTGATTCTTGTGTCCAGCATTAGCACACCTTATTTCAGCAAACTTCTTAGAACATTATGTTTGCATTAAAGCACAAATTCTCTCACTCGTAACAATGTGATTAGGCTAAAAGGAGACCAGATCGTACACTCCTATGCACGTATAGAGCGTAGATTTGTGTGCCTATACCATTCTTTCTCCATGTTTTCAAGGACCAGCAGCAACGCACTCCCCCATCTGCAAGTGTTATATCACTTAAGCAGAAAATTTTGACCAGAATTAGTTGTCTCACATTTTGGCTGTTGCAGCTGCATTCATTGTCCTTCTTTGTGCTGGATGAGGCTGATCGCATGATAGAGAATGGTCATTTTCATGAGTTGCGGTCCATAATTGACATGCTTCCTGTTACCGCCGGATCAATTGAAGGGCATTCTCAGAGTACAGATAATTGTGTGACAGTTTCGAGCTTCCAAAGAAAGAAGAGGCAAACTTTTGTGTTTTCTGCAACTATTGCCCTCTCTGCTGATTTCCGGAAAAAGCTAAAGCGTGGATCACTAAAATCCCAACCAAATGATGCAATAAATTCAATAGAAGCTCTTTCTGAACGAGCAGGAATGAGAGCCAACGCTGCTATTGTTGATCTGACAAATGTGTCAATTGTAGCAAATAAACTTGAGGAGTCGTGTATTGAGTATGTATTTACTTATTCTTTTGGTCTTTGGCATATGAAGCTCTTATAGTATATAATGTCTATGTATTGGGCCAATTTGACCATGGACCTCCGTACATAGTATTTGCATCTTACATCTCATACTTTCATTGTTAGGAATGAAATTTTCTGATATGCATGTACCAAATTAAATTGACTTTCAAAACTGATTTTGGATTAGTATAGTTTACACGTTTAAGACTCTATAATGGCTTTAGGATTTCCTTTTATAATGTCCTAACACCTAAGGTAGAGAAAATAATATTACTACTTAAAGATTCATACTAGACCTTGGTATTCATTCATATGTCGAACTAGTTAATCCCCCTTTATAGGCCATATTGACCTAAACCTGGCTGCATTCCTCATACACGTCTGGTTCTGGTCCTCCGTGATCCTGGTAATCGACAATTCTGTAGCCCAGATTGCATGATCCAAAATATGTTTAACTGCCATATTTGTTTCTCAACATTATTTACTTATGTAACAGGCCACTATACTAAATTATTGATTCTATATTAGTTGCTTGCATTGTGTCCATACTCTTGTTCCTTCTTTGTGCTTAATTTTTCTTTCTTGAAGAAGAAAAGACAAGAGGGTCTCTAGCACTTTCTTCCTTAAGAAAGAGTAGATATGGGGCCTTAAACTCTAGCATTTTTTTTCCTTAAGAAAAAGTAAATATCTGGGCTTTAAAATAAAGGAAGCAACTTGGATTCAGCTCAAGTTCGATACAATAGAAGCTTGTTTGAGCTCATACTCTAATTAATCTGAGCCAATGTTGAGCATAGGTAGGAGCTCACCAAGAAAATGAGGCGAATCATGGACGAAGCTGAGAGTGAAAAGGATGCTGAAACAGATGTATTTCAACCTAGGGGAGGTTGAATAGGTGTTATCGACAATAATGCCTAATTTAAACTTTATCCTATTCAACATGCAAAGCTCAAGTCTAGGATTTAAAGATGAACAAGGTTGATAAGAATTTCACTCTCTTTAGGAAATGGTAAAAGTTTGCCTCGTCATTAGCCTTTGTCAATAAAAGTAGCTTTCTTTGATTTTTAGGTGTATATGCTATAATCTCAAAAAAAAAAATAAAAATAAAAANTTAGGTATCAGTATTGGCCAATATTTTGATTTTTGAACCATGCCGTATTTAATACTATGGTGTTAGTAAGATGTTCCATTGCTTTTGGAAGCTATTTGGGAAATTAAAAAAAAAAGAAAGGCCCAGAAATGGCCTAATTTGGCTGGTTATAGTACTGTTAGCACCAATTCAAGCCTGGTGAGTTATGANGGGCGATACGACTTAAAAGAAAATGTTGAACATGATGAGAGATTTAGGTCATGCCACAACGTTGTGTAATTGTATCGGTTGATTCGGTAACAATAACTTGGCGACTCGAGATTGATTCGGATACAACTCGGTCGAGTCGTGTGAGACTCGGGGTTTCTATGTATTGTGTAACAGTATCATCTCGAAAGATGCCAATTCAGATACAACTAGGTATCAGTATTGGCCAATATTTTGATTTTTGAACCATGCCGTATTTAATACTATGGTGTTAGTAAGTTGTTCCATTGCTTTTGGAAGCTATTTGGGAAATTAAAAAAAAAAGAAAGGCCCAGAAATGGCCTAATTTGGCTGGTTATAGTACTGTTAGCACCAATTCAAGCCTGGTGAGTTATGAAAAATTACTAAGGTTTGTTTGCAGAGAGATAAGTATTGTGCAGATTTGCAGGTCTCACTGACTATGCTGCTCAGGCCGATTTTATTAGACTTAACTGGTCCACTTCATGGCTTGTCTCTTCTGCTCATTAGACTTTGTTCTTTGTCCTTGTTATTGATTTTTTCTTGTCCTTAATGTGCACCCTTTTTCCAGGTCACTGATCATCTCAAAGTTGTGGCCAAAGGCACTAATATAAGGGTGGTTCCTATTGTTGGTGGCATGTCAACAGAAAAGCAGGAAAGACTTCTGAAAACAAGGCCTGAGGTTGTTGTTGGAACTCCAGGGAGGCTATGGGAACTTATGTCAGGTGGAGAAATTCATCTTGTTGAGGTTAGTGTTATGCATGTTGTAAATAAAGCATATACAGGGAGTTCATTTCTACCATTTTGTTAGCGTGCAATTATATTGCTTTGTACACTGACAAGTTGTTTTGAGCAACCATCACACCTTAACCTTCGTTCTTTCTTGCGAAAGCAATTAGGTAAATTTCTCTTTTCCCCCTCATATATTTGGCTGATTAAATTCTGTGGAACAAAATTCAAAACTCTTTTATTTGACATTTGTGAAGTTGCATGTGCATGTTTTAACATGTAATAGACCTTTCATTATTATTATTTTTTTTGCACAAAATGAAAAATGGTCTAGGAATGGTTGAGTTTGATGATGTGGATTTCCTGGGACACTCGCTATGAGTTGAAATTCCGAGGGTGATAAAGTTTCAATAAAACATTACCACCATAGACTAATGGCAATAAGGATGAGGCAGAGAAATAAATTGAGGACTAGATTTTTTGGTAGTGTTTACTTTTTTGTGCTTGGAAATTCCATGTAGAATGATGGTGGAATTGAATATTAAATGATTTCAACAACGATAATTGGCACATGTGATAGAAATATTTCTAGACTTTGCCATGAGCTTCATTATATCTGTTAGCTTGGGTCCTATCTCGTGTACCTAATGCTGAAGATATAAGGTTAAAGCTGCAGTGAGGACGAGGATCCATTGGCCCTTCAAAAAAAATAGGGAAGAAAACCTCAAATCTGTCACCACAACTATTATAGTCTTAATCCTGTCATTGTTGTTGCCAATTCTGTATTCAATCTTTGCATGAACACAGTAAGTTAATCACGTGTCTCCTCCTACAATACAGCCTACACCTTATAATTACCAGTGCAATCACTATACAAACCTCTGCCTGTGGTTAGGTAACACAGCTACTGTCTCACATCACCAGCTTTACCACAGCCAAGTCCCTGGCACTACTCTTGCTGCAGCTGTTGCCATTTCTGTAACATCTTGAATCCTTGATTCTTGTGTCCAGCATTAGCACACCTTATTTCAGCAAACTTCTTAGAACATTATGTTTGCATTAAAGCACAAATTCTCTCACTCGTAACAATGTGATTAGGCTAAAAGGAGACCAGATCGTACACTCCTATGCACGTATAGAGCGTAGATTTGTGTGCCTATACCATTCTTTCTCCATGTTTTCAAGGACCAGCAGCAACGCACTCCCCCATCTGCAAGTGTTATATCACTTAAGCAGAAAATTTTGACCAGAATTAGTTGTCTCACATTTTGGCTGTTGCAGCTGCATTCATTGTCCTTCTTTGTGCTGGATGAGGCTGATCGCATGATAGAGAATGGTCATTTTCATGAGTTGCGGTCCATAATTGACATGCTTCCTGTTACCGCCGGATCAATTGAAGGGCATTCTCAGAGTACAGATAATTGTGTGACAGTTTCGAGCTTCCAAAGAAAGAAGAGGCAAACTTTTGTGTTTTCTGCAACTATTGCCCTCTCTGCTGATTTCCGGAAAAAGCTAAAGCGTGGATCACTAAAATCCCAACCAAATGATGCAATAAATTCAATAGAAGCTCTTTCTGAACGAGCAGGAATGAGAGCCAATGCTGCTATTGTTGATCTGACAAATGTGTCAATTGTAGCAAATAAACTTGAGGAGTCGTGTATTGAGTATGTATTTACTTATTCTTTTGGTCTTTGGCATATGAAGCTCTTATAGTATATAATGTCTATGTATTGGGCCAATTTGACCATGGACCTCCGTACATAGTATTTGCATCTTACATCTCATACTTTCATTGTTAGGAATGAAATTTTCTGATATGCATGTACCAAATTAAATTGACTTTCAAAACTGATTTTGGATTAGTATAGTTTACACGTTTAAGACTCTATAATGGCTTTAGGATTTCCTTTTATAATGTCCTAACACCTAAGGTAGAGAAAATAATATTACTACTTAAAGATTCATACTAGACCTTGGTATTCATTCATATGTCGAACTAGTTAATCCCCCTTTATAGGCCATATTGACCTAAACCTGGCTGCATTCCTCATACACGTCTGGTTCTGGTCCTCCGTGATCCTGGTAATCGACAATTCTGTAGCCCAGATTGCATGATCCAAAATATGTTTAACTGCCATATTTGTTTCTCAACATTATTTACTTATGTAACAGGCCACTATACTAAATTATTGATTCTATATTAGTTGCTTGCATTGTGTCCATACTCTTGTTCCTTCTTTGTGCTTAATTTTTCTTTCTTGAAGAAGAAAAGACAAGAGGGTCTCTAGCACTTTCTTCCTTAAGAAAGAGTAGATATGGGGCCTTAAACTCTAGCATTTTTTTTCCTTAAGAAAAAGTAAATATCTGGGCTTTAAAATAAAGGAAGCAACTTGGATTCAGCTCAAGTTCGATACAATAGAAGCTTGTTTGAGCTCATACTCTAATTAATCTGAGCCAATGTTGAGCATAGGTAGGAGCTCACCAAGAAAATGAGGCGAATCATGGACGAAGCTGAGAGTGAAAAGGATGCTGAAACAGATGTATTTCAACCTAGGGGAGGTTGAATAGGTGTTATCGACAATAATGCCTAATTTAAACTTTAACCTATTCAACATGCGAAGCTCAAGTCTAGGATTTAAAGATGAACAAGGTTGATAAGAATTTCACTCTCTTTAGGAAATGGTAAAAGTTTGCCTCGTCATTAGCCTTTGTCAATAAAAGTAGCTTTCTTTGATTTTTAGGTGTATATGCTATAATCTCAAAAAAAAAAATAAAAATAAAAATAAAAATAAAGTTTGTACCTGAGGAAACTATGTAGGTGGGCATGTTCTACCAGGATACTATTGGGGAGTGGTAGATGATTATAGGCAGCAACAACTTTAGAGGGGCAATGACTTCCAGGCAGGCAACTGTATTACTTAGGAAAGTACTACTGCAGAAGTACTAGGTCGTTTCTTGGCCAATTCTGGGGACACCCCTGCTCGACCCTCTCCCTCCGTCTATAGAGCCGGGCCTGATCATTGCCATACCTGGCTTGGCTAGGCTTGTTATTTGGGTTTAATAAGAATTTTTATGCACTCTCTTATCCACGGTAGTTTTGTTTGCTTTTAACGGTTTAACCTTTAATCATTCATATTTTCATGCAATGTTAAAAAGTACAGAATGCTTGTTTTATTATTTTTGTGATCTGTAATGCTATAACAATTCAAGAAAAAAGGATAATGTAAAAGGGTGTTAATATGTATTGTTCTGGCTAAGCTATAACCTATTTTGAAACATCATAATATATGAAACCACCTGGAAATTTCAGAAACCATTACCTATGATATGGAGTTGCTTTAAGCTGAGCTGTTTCAAGCAGCTCGGTTTTCTTCTCAAGCTCAGCTTGATCGGTGGATTTGTGATATCGTGATTTTACTCCAGCTCAAGGCTAGCTCAATCAACATAAGTCACTCTTCGAGCTGAGCCTAAGCACACTGAAACTTTGTTTAGATCAACCCATTTTCACCCCTAAATACTTTGTTGTGATGTTAATGACTGCCTGCAGAGATAATACTAGTTCAAAATGTGTTGCAGATGCAGGGAAGAAGATAAAGATGCCTATTTGTATTACATTCTAAGTGTTCATGGACAAGGCCGCACAATTGTCTTTTGTACATCAATTGCATCTTTACGACATATTTCTGCTCTCTTGCGCATTCTCAGCATTAATGTTTGGACTCTTCATGCCCAGATGCAGCAGCGAGCACGCTTGAAGGTTTGTTTTCCATATTTGTTTCTCCGTCATTTGTGTTTCATTTTTTTATCTGTGGGNAAATGGCCTAATTTGGCTGGTTATAGTACTGTTAGCACCAATTCAAGCCTGGTGAGTTATGAAAAATTACTAAGGTTTGTTTGCAGAGAGATAAGTATTGTGCAGATTTACAGGTCTCACTGACTATGCTGCTCAGGCCGATTTTATTAGACTTAACTGGTCCACTTCATGGCTTGTCTCTTCTGCTCATTAGACTTTGTTCTTTGTCCTTGTTATTGATTTTTTCTTGTCCTTAATGTGCACCCTTTTTCCAGGTCACTGATCATCTCAAAGTTGTGGCCAAAGGCACTAATATAAGGGTGGTTCCTATTGTTGGTGGCATGTCAACAGAAAAGCAGGAAAGACTTCTGAAAACAAGGCCTGAGGTTGTTGTTGGAACTCCAGGGAGGCTATGGGAACTTATGTCAGGTGGAGAAATTCATCTTGTTGAGGTTAGTGTTATGCATGTTGTAAATAAAGCATATACAGGGAGTTCATTTCTACCATTTTGTTAGCGTGCAATTATATTGCTTTGTACACTGACAAGTTGTTTTGAGCAACCATCACACCTTAACCTTCGTTCTTTCTTGCGAAAGCAATTAGGTAAATTTCTCTTTTCCCCCTCATATATTTGGCTGATTAAATTCTGTGGAACAAAATTCAAAACTCTTTTATTTGACATTTGTGAAGTTGCATGTGCATGTTTTAACATGTAATAGACCTTTCATTATTATTATTTTTTTTGCACAAAATGAAAAATGGTCTAGGAATGGTTGAGTTTGATGATGTGGATTTCCTGGGACACTCGCTATGAGTTGAAATTCCGAGGGTGATAAAGTTTCAATAAAACATTACCACCATAGACTAATGGCAATAAGGATGAGGCAGAGAAATAAATTGAGGACTAGGTTTTTTGGTAGTGTTTGCTTTTTTGTGCTTGGCAATTCCATGTAGAATGATGGTGGAATTGAATATTAAATGATTTCAACAACGATAATTGGCACATATGATAGAAATATTTCTAGACTTTGCCATGAGCTTCATCATATCTGTTAGCTTGGGTCCTATCTCGTGTACCTAATGCTGAAGATATAAGGTTAAAGCTGCAGTGAGGACGAGGATCCATTGGCCCTTCAAAAAAAATAGGGAAGAAAACCTCAAATCTGTCACCACAACTATTATAGTCTTAATCCTGTCATTGTTGTTGCCAATTCTGTATTCAATCTTTGCATGAACACAGTAAGTTAATCACGTGTCTCCTCCTACAATACAGCCTACACCTTATAATTACCAGTGCAATCACTATACAAACCTCTGCCTGTGGTTAGGTAACACAGCTACTNGCCGCCATGACACACACACCACCAGCGCCATAATCTCAAACACTCACTAACCTACTTGGACTTTCATAATGAAATCCGTATAAATGAGTGGGAGAACTTGGTTGTGTTTTAGGCATTTGCACAATGCTTAGATGGAGACAAGGAACATTGTTTGCTTGTGAGAGAGAGTGTGTAGAGGTGTATGAGGGATGGAGAGAGAGAGGTTGAGGAGATTGCGTGGTGAGTAGGGGTTACTGTGCCGGGGGGGGGATATTTTAGGAATTGGTCAAAAAACACAAATTCTCCACAAAGAAACACTTTTATTAATATCACTCTCTACAATGAAATAGTTGGGATTACACTAATATTTGTAGGCTGTCTTTTTCCAAAATCAGAATTATTCTTGTACTAAAATTCTAAAAGAGTTTGATAATCTAATTTTTAAAATACTATCCTACTAAAACTCTATAACAATTTCTTAGTCAAACTCTAACTAATACTACTAGTCAAAAATATTTTCCCTAATTAACATAGTAATACTAAAACAAATAATAAAATTCAAAATTTCAATTTAAGATCATTCAAATCCTTTTTAACTCTATCAAGTCAAAAGAAGTTGTTTTGGGGGCAGGTCATGGGTATGTGGTGGGACAGATCACCTCTCTCTCTCTCTCTCTCTCTCGCGCGCGCGCGTTGATCATATTTTTGTCAATTTTGACCAGGATTTTGATGTATGAATGATTCATTTTTGAATTACAATTGCCGACTGTCTTATTCAAATTGTTAGGCTGTGGCCTTTTTTTGGAATAATTCAGGGCGTATCCGTGGAATAACCTTTTTTAAATGAACCCAAAAGTGGATTGCTAGTTTCATAGGTTCACTAGTAAAGAGAAGCATTTCCCTTGCTGGGAGTTGAATACTAAATATTTACCATGTCTACCAAATAACCCTTTGAAAACTATAATGAATGCGATTGGATGTTAGGATGGTGTTGACTGTTGCCTTATTTTTGCTTCTAAAGATAGCGATTTAGTTAGTTGTTTTTTGTGTTACATANGAGAGATTTTTTAAGGGAGGATGTTGACACTATAAGCAACCTGAAACTGATGATTGTAAAAAAAGGTCATGGAGGCCAAGACAATGAAAGACAAGTAGGCCATGTGATCTGCGTGCGATAAATGCTGTCCATGTCACTTTATGATCTGTCTCTGAAATTTCTGGCTAGAAGCTGGCTAGTTTTGGTACCAACTTCAAGCGAGTGAAACTTCTGTCCTATTGTATTTTGTGGCACAATTCTTACCGGTTCTGCAAGGTTAATTTGTGGGTGCTGATTTTATAGGCAATAGGACTGTCGTTATTCTTTATTGATTGGTTAATTTTTGAAGTTTCCCATTAGGGTAGGTAGTATATTTTGTTGGTGCTAAACATTCCGGAATATTACTTCCTAATATTGTATTTGTAATATACATCTGATTACAGGTGCACCACCACCTCTAACACTGCCCCGCAATCCTATTATATTATATCCAATTACAAGAAATCTTACAAAGTCCACCACAAACCAAGACCAACCACACACATACTGAACTCTGGTTCTCTTAAATTAGACTCGGGCCATCACCACGAACGCACACACACACACAACCATATTAGAGGGAGATAGGAGACCCAGATGGATTGAATTACATTTAGACATAATTAAACTAGATTTGGACTTGATTGGACCACCACCCCCATCACCACCACTATACACGTACAAAGCTAGATTCGGACCGCCATGACACACACACCACCAGCGCCATAATCTCAAACACTCACAAACCTACTTGGACTTTCATAATGAAATCCGTATAAATGAGTGGGAGAACTTGGTTGTGTTTTAGGCATTTGCACAACGCTTAGATGGAGACAAGGAACATTGTTTGCTTGTGAGAGAGAGTGTGTAGAGGTGTATGAGGGATGGAGAGAGAGAGGTTGAGGAGATTGCGTGGTGAGTAGGGGTTACTGTGCCGGGGGGGGGATATTTTAGGAATTGGTCAAAAAACACAAATTCTCCACAAAGAAACACTTTTATTAATATCACTCTCTACAATGAAATAGTTGGGATTACACTAATATTTGTAGGCTGTCTTTTTCCAAAATCAGAATTATTCTTGTACTAAAATTCTAAAAGAGTTTGATAATCTAATTTTTAAAATACTATCCTACTAAAACTCTATAACAATTTCTTAGTCAAACTCTAACTAATACTACTAGTCAAAAATATTTTCCCTAATTAACATAGTAATACTAAAACAAATAATAAAATTCAAAATTTCAATTTAAGATCATTCAAATCCTTTTTAACTCTATCAAGTCAAAAGAAGTTGTTTTGGGGGNGGGCCATGTGATCTGTGTGCGATAAATGCTGTCCATGTCACTTTATGATCTGTCTCTGTGAAATTTCTGGCTAGAAGCTGGCTAGTTTTGGTACCAACTTCAAGCGAGTGATTGGTTAATTTTTGAAGTTTCCCATTAGGGTAGGTAGTATATTTTGTTGGTGCTAAACATTCCGGAATATTACTTCCTAATATTGTATTTGTAATATACATCTGATTACAGGTGCACCACCACCTCTAACACTGCCCCGCAATCCTATTATATTATATCCAATTACAAGAAATCTTACAAAGTCCACCACAAACCAAGACCAACCACACACATACTGAACTCTGGTTCTCTTAAATTAGACTCGGGCCATCACCACGAACGCACACACACACACAACCATATTAGAGGGAGATAGGAGACCCAGATGGATTGAATTACATTTAGACATAATTAAACTAGATTTGGACTTGATTGGACCACCACCCCCATCACCACCACTATACACGTACAAAGCTAGATTCGGACCGCCATGACACACACACCACCAGCGCCATAATCTCAAACACTCACTAACCTACTTGGACTTTCATAATGAAATCCGTATAAATGAGTGGGAGAACTTGGTTGTGTTTTAGGCATTTGCACAATGCTTAGATGGAGACAAGGAACATTGTTTGCTTGTGAGAGAGAGTGTGTAGAGGTGTATGAGGGATGGAGAGAGAGAGGTTGAGGAGATTGCGTGGTGAGTAGGGGTTACTGTGCCGGGGGGGGGATATTTTAGGAATTGGTCAAAAAACACAAATTCTCCACAAAGAAACACTTTTATTAATATCACTCTCTACAATGAAATAGTTGGGATTACACTAATATTTGTAGGCTGTCTTTTTCCAAAATCAGAATTATTCTTGTACTAAAATTCTAAAAGAGTTTGATAATCTAATTTTTAAAATACTATCCTACTAAAACTCTATAACAATTTCTTAGTCAAACTCTAACTAATACTACTAGTCAAAAATATTTTCCCTAATTAACATAGTAATACTAAAACAAATAATAAAATTCAAAATTTCAATTTAAGATCATTCAAATCCTTTTTAACTCTATCAAGTCAAAAGAAGTTGTTTTGGGGGCAGGTCATGGGTATGTGGTGGGACAGATCACCTCTCTCTCTCTCTCTTTCTCTCGCGCGCGCGCGTTGATCATATTTTTGTCAATTTTGACCAGGATTTTGATGTATGAATGATTCATTTTTGAATTACAATTGTCGACTGTCTTATTCAAATTGTTAGGCTGTGGCCTTTTTTTGGAATAATTCAGGGCGTATCCGTGGAATAACCTTTTTTAAATGAACCCAAAAGTGGATTGCTAGTTTCATAGGTTCACTAGTAAAGAGAAGCATTTCCCTTGCTGGGAGTTGAATAATAAATATTTACCTTGTCTACCAAATAACCCTTTGAAAACTATAATGAATGCGATTGGATGTTAGGATGGTGTTGACTGTTGCCTTATTTTTGCTTCTAAAGATAGCGATTTAGTTAGTTGTTTTTTGTGTTACATACATTGCTATACATAAATGCCAATTGCATGTTTGAGACTCACTTAATTTTCATAGGAAGGAGTAGGGGCATGATTCCCCCTCTCTCCTCCTCCTCCCCCTAAAAAAAGAAAGAACAGAAATTGAAGGACAGGAGAAGGAAGAATTAGCTTAAGCCTGACATATTTGATTACTTTGTGGGAGTACTTGGTTGTCTTGTTGAAAATATAAATCAAGTTTTCTTTTGGTTCTTCCATGTATCTATTGCTTATTGGTATAATTTCTGTCTGCTATGTAGGCAGTTGATCGTTTTCGCACAAATGAGCATGGTATACTTGTTGCCACTGATGTTGCTGCAAGAGGCCTCGATATTCCTGGTGTCCGAACTGTTGTTCACTACCAACTTCCACATTCAGCAGAAGTAAGTTGATATTAGTCCTCTTTCTTTTCTCTGTGCATCTGGTAGAGTTTGAACTGATGCTGAAGGTATTAATTTTGCTAGGTCTATGTTCATAGAAGTGGAAGAACTGCTAGAGCCTCTTCTGATGGATGTAGCATTGCTTTAATCTCGTCAAATGATACATCAAAATTTGCTGCTTTGTGCAAGTCATTTTCAAAGGTAATGCTTTTATAAAGATTAAAATCCTTCTTTGACTTCTGAGTGCATTATTAGCAAAGAGTATATGCTCAGAATAAATATGCCCTGGAGACACTTTACTGCAGTTTGTTTTGATCTAAACAATTTTCTGATATGAATTCAGAATGTTTTCATGTTACCCTGGATTACAATAATCATAACTTCAGCCATATGAATTTTGAAATACTCAACTGCTTACTTGATAGCTGTTGGTTAGTTGTGTTTTCACAGAGGAAGTTGTAGGCTAGTGCATTTGAGTCAAAAATGTTTATCTTCAGTGATGGATATCTGTCGTTTGAGCAAGCTGTAAATATTCTTTGTATAATGATATCTGGAGCTAGAGATAGAGACTGATGGAAATCAGTTTTCTCTTTCTTGTCCAGTAACCATTCTTAGTTGAGGGACGGTCGAAGAAGAAAGTCAGTCGAATGGCATGCCTCACCCTTCTGGGGTGGGGACTTTGATACTACTTCGGTCGCCACTAAGGAAACCCTTTGATTGCGGATTGTAGATTTGGTGCACAATTTGTTGTTTGTGTCTATATTTGGGTTCATATGGTTTTGTCTGGCCAGGGACTAGAAATGTTGCTCTTCCTAAACTCTAAATCCTTTGTATACAAATGCTAAAACATTCCTAACCATAACTCAAATCACATGTAAAATCTATGAAAGCTTAAACAGACTTGGAAAATTCTCCTGAGAATCATTGTTGGAAAGAATAAAGAATGATTCTCTCTCTCTCTCTATGGAATTAACACAAGCAGGCTTCAGCATCTAAATAGATCGGAGCCAGAGCATGAAAACAAGGTAGAACAAATTGCATCCCAAATGTGGAAAAGAGACCATCCCAGAGATCTCTGGCAACCTCACACTGCAGTAGAAGATGATTCAGTCTGTGCTACCTCTTTGCTAATACAATACGAATTCTGCCCAAATTTTCAATGGTTAAGATGTCTTCCAAAGCTGCTCTCCTCACAAAAGTGAAGGCCGGGAAGGACCCCTTACTTGCTAAGTGCTCCTCCAAGGGAATTCTGATCTCCTCACCCCACAACTCCACGGAGAAGGGTTTAACACTAACCATGGTGTTTGCAGTTGTCTTCCATTGCATACTCCCTATTTTGCACGAATATTAGGTCTATAGAGAAATTTGAAGGAAGTAGCCACCGTTTCCAACTCCCAATCATGCATATCTCTAAGAAACGGCTCCTATTGTACTCTCCTTTCCAAGAANTGTCTTCCATTGCATACTCCCTATTTTGCACGAATATTAGGTCTATAGAGAAATTTGAAGGAAGCAGCCACCGTTTCCAGCTCCCAATCATGCATATCTCTAAGAAACGGCTCCTATTGTACTCTCCTTTCCAAGAAATGGAGATACTCTTCGATAGAGCTCCCTTGTTGGATTTGATTACTATATAAGTCAGGCAATCGCTCGCAGTTAGATTGCTCATTCCACTGGTATGTCCAAAATCTTGCCAGGGCCTACTCCCATCACAAACTTCACATGCTTAGAAAAGTCTTCCCATGAACATCCCAACTCCTTTTCAGACTCCCACCCCATTAAGAAGCCTGTCCAGCTAGTAGACCCATTCATTCTCAAATTTAGCTTCTATGACTCTTCCCCATAATTTATTTCCTTGCAGCACATATCTCCATGTTTATTTCTCCCTAAACTTTCAGATACAATACCGAGTCTCCTTCAACAGCCTCCAAGCATCATCCCAGTTCAATGATCAGACACGTAGATCTAATAAGTTCTATTTTTTATTGAGACTTATTGAACTTAAATAATATGGCAAGAATGTGTTGACATTGTTAAAGGAACCATTCGTAGAATATAAGTTTAGAGGTTGGAACAACATTCTTGTACAGGTATGGCTTCTTCAATTGGGAGGTGGTTGTAATTGCTACCTCTATCCGGTGGATGTTTGGTTAATTAACTCAAGAAGGCATGTTTTGCTCAGTCTCACCAGAAGATATTGAGAAGAAGAGGGATTTTTTGAGTTCTTCTTTCCATGATACTTAGTAATAGACCTGTGGGATTGGTCTTGACTGTGGCAGAATGGGCAGCTTGGTTGCTATGGCTTTTGATTAGAATGAGGGCATCCACATGTATGCTAGTTGCTGTTGCTTTTTTGTCGTCCATTGCAGGCAGAGGCTATTCCATTTATGATGGAGGGCAATCGATAGATGGGGAAGCTTTCCTTTTGCTGGATGCATGGTTGTTTAGAGTAGGGTGTTCAGGAGTGATAAAAAGAATGGCTGACTATTTTTGGGCTCCTACTTCAGTTGTGTTATATGCATCCGTTTGAAGCAATACAGTTGATTTGATTAACATGGATGCAGTGGAAGTGGTTCAACTGGTGGTCAGAACTGGGGCGTTTAGTGCTGGATTGGCTCGTTGTAGTGGACAACCTTGTGTATTAGTGAAGTTAGATTGCTGGTGCATCAGTTGCCAGATTGAGTGTCAGTGCCAGTTAAAAACTTTGGCAGAGCAGCAAGTGGTGATGTGGCCTCTCCGAACTATGAAGCACGGACCCTCTCGAGAAGGTGACGTATCCGTGTCGGACACCGACACTCTTCAGACACTCTTGGACACGTGTTCAATACTCTTTTATTCGTGTCCATAATCAAATGATAAAATTTTAATTTCGGACACGGGTTTGACACTTCTTTTATGACGTGTTTGATACTTCTTTAGAGCTTGTCTACTACTAAACAATAAACATCTGTTGAAATGTGATTAACAAAGCTTAAAAATTTGAGAAAATATAATTACCAACACTAGACATATTAAAGTTGTACTCCAAAAATAATAATAAAAATAAAATATGCATAAAAGTTTTAAAAAAGAGTAATTGAGAAAATGAGAGCAATTATTTAAATTATATATTCAATACACATTGTTTACAAAAAAAAATTAATGATTATTGACTATTAATAGGATGCTTTAGTCTAAAAGTTCACATAGATGAGTAGACATAAGATTTACTTATCATAAAATACTAAATCTTTTATGAATTGTATATCATTATCACTATATTTGTAATAAATTATATAATGTTATATATAAAATATAAGTTTTTGTAACGTGTCTCCAACGTGTCTGTGTCCTACTTTTTTGAGAAATGTCGTGTGTTTGTGTCCGTGTCGTGTCGTATCCATGTCCTGTGTCCGTGTCCGTGTCCATGCTTCTTAGTTCCGAAGCAAAGATGGAGGGTTTGTAGCCTAGACTGTGACAGCTTGAACAAGAAAATTAGGATCACTAGGAGGGGACTGGGACTGGGGGTGGGATCTACTCTAATGATAAGATAACATTAGAAGTTCCAATGGCTTCTGTACATGCATGTGGTCAGTGAGGTGGAATGGGGATGAATTTTTGGAAACATAGCACCAGAATGGGGAGATTGGGGGCTGCTAGCTGGATAAGCAGTCAAAGCTAGACTCCTATACACTAAAGTAAAACAGGTCATGCAAGGAATCAGGTGGGGAGGAATGGGCTTAGCCTGAACTCCAAACCGATGTGAAGGGATGCAGTTCAGGGATGGATAGGCCAACAACTTTTGTTTGAGGTCAAAGCTTGGCTTAACAATGTGCGCTGTAGGATGAGTCCTTGTGGGGATGCTTCAGAAAGATTTCTTGAAGGTGAGCTGATCTAGTCCAAAGCAGAAGAGAAGTTGGCTTTAGAGATGAACAATTACTACTAGACATTGTCATTCATATTTTCTCCAGTAAATATTGATCTTAGTCAGAACTTGATTGGTTATGTAGATGGGATATCATAAGCATGTGCTAAAAAGTGCTATCATCTACTTGCTGCATTTCATTATTTTTGTAGGTTTGAGAAATAGCCCTCACTTATTATTGTGGGAAGGGCCAGAAGACTCCTGCAGAGAAGTCAGTTTGTTGTCCATCTTTTACATCATTTTTGTTCTTGAATGTACTATCAGAACATTCAAGAACAAAAATTTAGAGATAATTAGCTGTCATTATCGCTATTTATTTATTTTACTGCCTATTTTTTTTGCTTTTAGGGGGATTTTTGGGTTGGAGGTTGTGGTGATTGGAGTGAAGTAAATTTAGTAGTTTGTTTCAAATTGCTTATTCTGAACATCATTTAGTCTAGAACTGTTTAAGTTATAGAGGTGACAATTGCTTCCAATTTTACCCAGGAAAGTTTCCAGCTATTTCCTGTAGAGGCTTCATACATGTCGGATGTTTCAAAACGATTATCTTGTGCACGTCAAATAGACAAGATATTGCGCAAGGATTCCCTGGTAAATTGTACATTTTATTCATGGGTGTGTTTTAGTTGTGTACAGATCTATAATTCGAAGATTTTAGTTGCAATTTTTATCTTCTATTAGATTTATTGTTTATTATTGAAGTCAGTAGTCTTCTGGAGTGGTGTAAAGGTTGATGTGATTATGTATATTGATAAATACTTTTGAAGAAGCCGTTGCAGGAATGCAATGATTTTTTTGACTTATTTAGGAGAATTTTGCACTGCATATTTCAGCTTGGACATATAGAGGTTGATTTTTTATGCAGAAGTAATTTTGCTCCTCTTCTTTCTGTATGGATTAGCACTACGATTGAAATAAAGGAACTCGGTCTCATCAGCTTTACTACATGTTTCAAGCTAGTGAATGTTCTCACATCTGTGAATCTGGTTGATTGCACATTCAGTTGTTTTTGCTTTGCTAATGGTTTGCTGTTTCTGGTTTGGGAAACAAACAATGACTGCTTGTATACTTAACTTTCAGTAAAAATTAAGCCCAAGGTTTTTTTTTCTCCTTTTATATTGATACTTGAAACAGAATAATACATGCAAGTCTAGAGAGAGATGATGATACATTGAAGAAGAAGATGAGAATACAAGGAGCCCCCAAAGATTCTCTGCAAACAAGAAAAAAATCAGCAGAGTTAAAAGACAAGAACTTTCTGGAAAAAAAAAATCAAAGACAAAGATAAAGATGGAAAACAAAAAACTAAAGCTGAGCAAAGACCCAAGCAAAAGCAAGCACCAAGTGGATAGAGGTCTTGAAGAGGAACCCAAGCATTGGTGCCGGTCTCCTGCCTCCAATATTGTTCTCTAATTTTCCTCCCACGCTGATTCTCACAGGGAGCAAGTTAGCTTGTTGAAATCACAAAACCTATGAAGTTGCGGTGTACATGAACCAAGCTGAACCGAGAAGTAGGTTGCTTAGGTGCTGTTTGAAATTTTAGCAAGCTCCCAAATGCAGCTGAAGCAGTTATATATGTCTTTAGCTTATTGAGCCTCAAACCAAACCAATTACGAGGCAAACTTGAATAGCTCAGTTTTCCTTATAGTCTAGGATTCTAATTAGCTTATCAAGCCAAATGCAAGATGAGCTCTATTGATTAACAAGCTTTAAAGCCAAATGCGAGATGAGCTCTATTGATTAATAAGCTTTAAAATGTGGATTCCATGGTGGGGATCTGTTTCGATCCTTTGTCAAAGGTAGTGGCATGCTGTTGTATTGTTAAATGTCAATGACTATGCATCACCCATCTTCTGATGCCTGTTGCTCCAACACCTGAACGACATATAGTTTTTTCCTTTTAATTGCTCAGTGGGCCAATGCCAGTGCTCATGTGTCTTTGCTTCCATACCCCCGGCCCCGGGGTCCATCACTTTTAAATAGATAAAAATCTTCATGTTCTGATTGTTATTAGTTCTGTTGTATTTCTTGTGGCTTTTTTCATATATGTTCCTTTATTCATTAAATTCGCTGATTCCCCTTCAATTCCATAAGCCTATGGATGCGACAGGGAAACAGGAGTAAAATAGTTCATAGAACAATAGCTGGATGAGAGAAGCAAGACAAAATCTTCCTGACGTCAAAGTAGCAATTGCAAGCACTAGTATTGTCTGATTTGTAACCCTTACATTGAATTGTAGCTAAACTTCCCAAAATACCCATCTATATTATTGAACCAACTAGTAGGAAAATGAAAAATATTAAAACATTAACAATTTCCCTTGAAACCTGCAAATATAAGAAATAATGCATGCTGTGAGATCCTCAGACGTTGGTCGTGTTATGTTGCTGATAAACTTTGCTGTATCGTCACTCTAAATCTTGGGGCTATTAGCATTGATCTACTAAATGTGCTTCAGACTCTTATCATGTGTGACCCAAACTAATAAAATTTCTTACTGGTCGTTCTTTCCATTACATTGATTGTGTTATCAGCCACAGTCAATAGCTAGATTCTAGTAGACTGTGTCCTTGATGCTCAAATCTTGACTTTTGGTAGGAAAGGGCAAAGAAAAGCTGGTTTGAGCGGAATGCTGAATCAGTTGATTTAGTTTTGGAGGACAATGACAGCGAGGAGGAGAGAGTGAACAGTTACAAGCAAAAGAAGGCCAGTTCTATTCATTTGAAGAAACTGCAGCAGGTCTCCTCTCACTCATTATGTTTTATTACGTTTTTAAGTGAAACCACTTCTCTTGTTTAGCACAGTTACAATCGTGACTTAATTTTTGCATCATCCTAAAACGCTCCATATGTATGAAACTGCAGGAGCTCCATACATTGCTTTCACGGCCATTGCAACCCAAGTCATTTTCTCATCGCTTTTTGGCAGGGGTAATTACTTTAAAAGCCTTTTTCATCTTTTTTTCACGCTGACAATATCATGGCATAACAGTTGACTTCACAATTTTGTCGTTTCTCCTTCCCTCTCTCCTTGTCATGTGTCTGGATCAGGGAACTGGTTGTTCTCCTGCTTAACTGGCTCAGTACATTTAACAATTGACTTGACTTTAACCATTGACTTTCTTTCTCAGGCTGGTGTTTCAACTCTCCTTCAGAACCAATTTGAAGAATTAGCTAATAAGGAGAAATTTGGTGATGCAAGAAACTCAGGTGAAAGCAAAAGAAGGAAATTGGTGATTGTTGGTCGGGATTGTGTAGAACCACTCCAAGCACTTAGGAGTGCTGGTCAGGAGGTAATTAGTGCTTGAGGAAGTTGTTCACGCACATTTACATTAATGAATTTTATCTGGTACACATGCATGAGCTCGATGATGAAGTCTAAATATGTGTCGTCTTTGTAATTGCAGTAGAATCTTGAATTGAAACTGATGATAAAATAGGATGATTTACTGCTTTTGAACTTGCAACCATATGTCTTTTTCGATTTGTCCTTAAAATAATATGTGTTTATTAACTGCTTTCGTTTCTCTTTCCATGCTTTAACTTTTCATGTTTGCTCTCCTATTCTCAGGTCATGGATTTGAAAGAGATTGCAGTAAAACAAAGAAATGTAGACCACTTCAGGAGAAAGAGAAAGGAGGAGAAAAAACGTATTTATTCGATTATTTCTATTTATTCGTCATTCTTACCCTCCCCTCATGAAAGCGGAGCGATCCTTGACTTCTGATTTACTTGTCCAGGTTTGCATGATCAACGGAGGAAGCAGAGAAAAAGGCTAAAAGGGAAATCCAAAACCAGCTAGTAACTTTGGGTGTAGATTAATTTAAGGCCAAGCCATAAAGTTGAAGACTAAAATTTTCAAGACCAATCTTGCTTGTATATTGTATGGCTTTGGGAGTATCAAAAGGATCAAAAAACAAAAGAAGAGGAAAAGGCTTTTTGTTCTGCATTAATTAGTGAGGTATGTGAGCAGAATTGCATTAAAAAGTGTAAATTACACTTTAACCCTTTTAATTATGGTTTTTTACATTATTTCCTCAATTATCTTGTTTTCTTTTTTTCATTTTGCCCTTGTCGAACATTTTTATTCTCATCTATGACATTACTTTCAAATTGCACTAATTATTAACGTCCGTTACAAACAAATTTGATAGAAAGAAGTTTTTTTTTTTTTTTTTTTTTGTGATAAAAAAGTTGAAAATAGAAAATTATTTGGCTGCAGTTTCTGTTTTAGAAACTTTGAAAACTACAACAAAAAATGTTTGATAACCATGTTAATGTCTCTTATATGTTGTAGTTTTATATTAATTTCCTGCTAAAAAGTACATTAAAATTTCTTATAAAGTGTGATCTTGCAAAATCTGGTCTTAGAAATGATAAATACCCATCACATTTTGTTTCTGTATTACGAAAATAAATCAAGAAACATTTTCCACAAGAAATTGATTCGATCACGGTAAACATTTTCCAACACAAAGTTCCCACAAAGTCTTTATCCAATATAAAGTTACCAAAGCTTCAAGAAAAAACAAAAAAAACAAAATCTATGCACAACACACACATACACACAAATCTAATATATATATATATATACTAGTTATTGCCTTTAAAAAAATGGTCAACAATAAATATATTTATATTCATACTTAAAATTAAATTATAAACATAGAGTAAAAAAAAAATTTAAACACCGGTGATAGTGGTGGTGGAAGACAGTGATTATTGTGGTGGGTAGCGACGACCGTGGTGATGGTGGTAGTCATGAGTGGCAATGGTGATACTGATGTTGGATTTTTTGTGATAATGATAGTAGTAACAGTCATGGGTGACAACGGTAGTGGTTGTGGGTGACGATGATGGTGGTGGGTTGTGGTGGTGGGCAGTGATGATGGAGGTGGTGGGCGACGACAGATGATTCTGGAAGACAGTATGATGAATTGTGGTAAATAGCAATGGTGGTGGTGGTAGGTGTGGTAGGGGTGAGTAATAGTGGATAACAATAGTGGTTGGTGATGACGATTAATAATGGTAAGTTTGATGGAGGTGGGTGACAGTGACTGGCGGCGATGGTGGGCAATGACGAATGGTGGTTGATTGTGATAGTGGACGACGTTGGGTGGTGGTGAGCAATAAT